GGAAGGCTTAGAAAGAGGAAGAAAGAACAAGCTTCTAGCTTTGAGAGAGAGAAAGAATAGAATTAGATGATTGTTGATTCTTGAAAACGGGGAAAAAAAGCCCTTATTTATAGAGAAAACATCTGGAACGCTTCGAAAAGAGTCAGAATTTGACTCAAAGTAAAACAGACCCTACCGCGACGCGATGGATCTATCGAGACGCGATGGAGCTATCGTGACACAACAGACCCTATCGCGCGCAATAAGCTCTCCGCAGCTTGATGGCTTGATCAGGATAAAAAAAACCTGAACAGAGTCCTTTTCCCAATATAATTAGCTAATTAGACTCCGTAATTATCTTAATTAAAATCATTTTTATCTTTTAAAACACTTGTTTTATCCCTTGTTTTATCCCGAATTAAATTCCTTATCTATAAAAATATAATTATTAATCCTAATCCTATTAGAATTTAAAAGAACCTTCTAGATTATTCTAGAAATTTAAAGTAATTCCTAATAACTTTAGGAATGATAATTAATGGGCCCTCCACTTGATCATTGGGCCATATAAAATCATTTTGGACCCAATTTAGTATTTTGGCCATAACTTCCTCATTATTAATCGGAATTGGGCTTATAAAATACCGTTGAAAAGATCTTTTCAAACCCCATCCAACTACACCATTATTGGATCATATTATGGACCAAACTAAACTGGACTGGTTGTTTTCCATAAATAAGGTATGAAAAGAAATATTTTCGTAAACAGAAAGAAGTATTTTATTAAAAACAGGTGCATCACTAGACCCCATCTTTCACATTTCACCTTGCTCGATAATCAAATGACGTGAAAGATATTCATCACTGGATTTGTTTTTGGGGAGACACAATCAGGTGTCTACAATGTCATACGACTTTGTAAAAAAAAAAAGTATGTCATACAGAGTACTTATACATTTTTTTTGTGAATCACTAAACCACGTCCAATATTTACTGGGTAACGCCTGTATTTTAACACGACTTTACAAACTAGCCACCCTTATAATTTATCCTATTTCACTTTCACCTCCTTTAATCTTCTATATATTATACTAAAAGACAAGCGCCTCAATGTGAGGATGACAAATGTCACTCTCTCATTGGTTTATCTTATGTATAAAAATATATATATATAATTATTATTGTTTACATATTCAAGCATAGTTATTTTTGTTAAACTTTAAACAATAAAAGCAAGTTTTTATACATGCATAAGATTTTCATGATTTTCTAACATAAATATTGATTTAATTTTTTTATAATAAATATATACTTTCCAATACTAAAAATAATCCATAAAGTCTTTCCAATATTTATTTATAGTCAAGTTAAAGAATAACAACTAATTTAAAGCAATATGATTAAAGTGGCATAATTAAGGAAACAAATATTTCGTATTTTGAAAGGCTAATATTGTTTTTTGTATGAATTTTGAAAGGCTAATATTGTTTTTTTTTATGAAAATTAAATAAAATCGATAGAATTTAGTTTGACGTCAATTATGAGATCAATTCAAACATTTAAAAAAAATCAGATGTACAATAAAATATTGTGCACCTATTATAAAAGCTATCCTATAATGAATGAAATTTATTTATACTTTATTGATAAAAGTTACCCAAAATAGTCTACAAGTTATCCTAAATTCAATTCAAGTAATCGAATGAATACAAAAGTTTTTGATAAAAATACAAAATAGTGTAAAAATTACTTTTATCGTTTGTTGTACTCCTTTACAAATACTGAATGCTGAGCCGAAATGTTGTCTTGGAAAAAAAATACATAATCTTGAACATAAATTTAATTTTAATCGGCCTTTCATTTTCTATACAATGTCTTTTACAACGACCTTTTGTTTTTCTTGCATAAAAAAAATTAAAAAAAAAAAACAAACAAACTGAACCAATAACCAATCTAAACAAGAAGAACAAAAGTTAAATTGAATTAGACATTTGACGGAAAAGGGATAGATATAAAATGTATTATAGCTATTACTCTTATTTTAAATTGTAATATTCGTATTAACAATGATATTACTTATGAATTTTTTTGCTCATGTACTATACTAGATATACAACAATCATGTGCAATAATTTATGTTGTTTTTTGCATAATAATACTTTTAACTATATTAGTATGTGTATTTTTTATAATATAAAAAAGTATATATATAATATAATATTTTATAACACGTGTCCTCCATACCAAGTGTTGTCCCAATCACCACTACACCAATTGGTTGTTGGTGTAGTGGTGATTGAGACTACACTAGGTAGGGAGGACCTGTGTTCGCTCCCCTGCAACAACAACCGGAAGGGGAATGGAACCTAATAACCTAGAACTGATCCTCAAATCTGGATTAGCCCAAAGGGTGAACCAGATAGAACACCCAAAACTCAATGCATATATGACGGGAATTAACTTATCCTTTATCTATCTTATACAAAACTCCAAAGTCTAAATTTTTTTTCAAAATATAATAATAACATTTGTAAATTTTTGTTAATATGAAAGATATAAACCTATCATAATGTATATATAGTTAAATTGTTTAATAACTTATATCGAATGCGTAGTTTTATTAAAATTATTTGCATGTAATCATTAAATGTGTTGGATGTTGTGTAGCTATGCAATGTCCAAAATTTTAGTTGAGCGACTTTGATTTAGTGATTGTACTGTAAAAAGATATTGACTTCAATCTTAAAACCTAATAGTCTAATAAATTCTAAATAGAAAAATTAAAACAAAAGGAAATGAAAATAGTAAATGGCCCTTTAAATATTGAAATAAACATAACCTTTTAAATCAGTTTAGCGAATTCAAGAGACAAGTTTAAGGCTTTATTTTAAAATTAAATGGGGGAAAATATATGTAAAAAGAACATTTTTAGATATATAAATGTCCATGCACTATTATAAGAATTTTGTTAACCTTTTTATAATTAAGGTAGGGATAAATCTTAGTAATATATACTCCTATATTTTATTTATATAAGATTATCGGTATCCATACCTATATACGAAGTATTTGTGTTGTATACTATATTTAATCAGCTGTTGGTTATATATGTGACTATTATATAATATATAGTTTTTGGAACAATGATTAACTTAGGAAAATATATGTTCTGGTAGGTCAAATATAAGGTTAGTTATTATTGTGTCTATAGATTTAATGAGTGCGACGGGTAAATAAAACATGTATATATTAGATTGATTGTAGCTACTGATGCGGATGGTATGATATGAAAATTTCAGTTTTTTCTCAACGGGAGATATATATAAATTAGTCCACTTCTTATATAGCTATGTGGAGTATTATTCAATTTTTTTTTTAAAGAAGTCCTAAAGGACATTAAATTTCATTAAATAAAGCCATACGACATCTACAATTGACAATTAACAATAATGAAAACGAATTTAACAAAATCAAACAAGAATTAATCAGGGAAGGGCTAAGAATCCAAATACATAAATATAACAATTCGGCACATTCTCGATTCGTTGTCTCATACAACTTTTTGAGTGGATCCGTCGTCGCTTCGCAATTTTGTGAGAAAGTTAATTCTTGTGCTGATTCCGTAACCCGAATTCGAGCCATAATCAATCGTAGCCCCGCACAACCGGAGACCAAATTAAACACAAATAAAACCTTGACTTTCGAAGGAGTCCGAAAAACCTTGTCTTTTGAAGGAGATCGAAAAAACCTTGTCTTTCGAAGTAGATAGACCCTTTCTTTCGAGGGAGACATTATTATTGTAACCTAAGAAATAAAAAGCTTAAAAGAAAATGAAGATTGGGGCTTTCCACCGGTAAAATCCGATGGAAGCCCCTTCAAAATTGATAATGGAGGCTAGAGTTTAGGAGAGAGAAGAGAGAGAGGAGGCTAGGGTTTTTATTATTCAATTAATAAAATAACATTATTAAAAAATTAAAAGAAATTCAAATAACATAAAATACTATTCAAATAACGTTCCTTTAATTTTTTTATTGACTATTAGTAACCAAGTCCTTTAATAGTAAATGAATTGTCTTTGTTTTTATTTTTATTTTTCCTACGGGTTTAAGAATTTGATTTATAAATCGTGCATCGCACGGGCACTATGCTAGTTAATTACTCTCTATTTTGTTACCCTACCACCCACCGAACATCCACCACCATCGAACAACCACCCCCACTCCACGAAATAATTTTTTTAAGGAAATTGCTTTACTCTTCAACGATTAGCACAAGCAATGAATAGACGAGTTTGACGAAGCGACGACGCCATTAGAGAAGTTGTCGGAGCATACAGAGTTGGTGAGTACTCTAAATTTTGGTTTTTTTTTTATTTCATAATCGCCTGAGGAATGCCTGGAATTTTAGAATCACTCCTGGAACATCCTAAAGTTTTAGGCGTTTCAAAGGAAAACGCTTGGAAGATTAGAGATTCCACCTCGGGACATTCTAAAATTTCATGCGTCTCCCCTCTAAAACGCTTGAAATTTTAGGCCTTTTTGGTTGACATGGGAACTAAATTCCTAGAAATTACATTTCATGGGACGTTATTTCTCTTATAAAATTTCTAGGAATTTCCTAAATTTTTTTAGTTGGTAATGTTGGAATTTAGAAATATCGTTAATTTGGATTGACGTGCGGGGGGGGGGGGGGAAGGAGGGATCTAGGTAATTTATTTCCCTTGTTTTGTGGGAAGTTGAAATTCTCGTGAATTTCTACTTCCCCTTTTTTGCTATTATGTGTCAACCAAACAACTTCCCCATTTTCTAAGTGCCATGAATTTCTATTTCCCTCAATTTATGTTGTCAATCAAACAAGGCCTCAGAATTGTATCATGAGATTCTAAATTTCAGGCATTCCTTTCGAATGAACGAAAATAATAATAATACAAAAATGCTCGCCGGTGTTAATTCCCTTGCATTTGCGATTTACCGACATCCTCCCCTTTTTTATAGCCTAGGCGCGATGGATGATGGTGGCAGTTGAATTGTGGTGGTTGATTTTGTATGTGGTTGAATTTGGTGTCTTCCTTGTTGGTGGGTGAAATTCAAGATGTACGGGGTGAAGAAATAGAAAAGCAATAGTGAAAATAATGGTTGAAAGGGTTATTTGAATGAGGGGGAGATAAGTATGTTCATATTAAAATACGGATGTTACCCGGTAAATATCGGACGTGATTTAGCACCATTTAAGACAAAAACGAACCAGGTGACTATTGAGTACTGGCTAACTGGCTAGCGTGAGTGAGGTTAAAAGAATAAAACCCCTCATTTCAAAGAAGGGGTTTTTCTTCTATGCTCTTTGTTTTCAATTGCTGAATGAGTAGTAGTTTACGATCAAATCCTCGAATTCATTGTTCTTAATTAATTGCAATTTGGTAATCTCTTCACTTTTAATTTCAAACCTAATCTGGTTAATTTGTTCATCGTTATTTATTTTTTTTTTTTTTAATTTTTTTTTACATTGGGTGTTAATCAGTAATGTGATTCATGGGAAATTTTCAATTTTCTCTAATTTGTATTTGATTGGTTTCATTATCTCTTTCAATTTTGCAGTCAATAAAAAAAACCCAATTCAATTTGCAAGTTAGGTTACGATGACAACCCTTCCTGTTGATGTTATTACTGATATTCTGCTTAGATTGCCGGCCAAATCTCTGTTACGCTTTAAGTGTGTTTGCAAATTATGGTATGATATAATTGAGGGCACTGACTTTATCAAGCGGCATGTTGAGCAATCCAATTTGCATATGATTTTCACAAACCCTGTTGTTTATATGAGCGATTTCGACAAATTTGACAAACCCACTAATCTGGATTACCCTTTCAAGAATTTAGAAGATGGGGGTGTTTATGTTGAAGGATCGAGTCGTGGTTTGCTTTGTATATCTATAAATTGTTATCCCTACACCACTTACTTGTACAATCCTACAACACAATCCTACAAGACCCTTCCCTTTTTGCCATTGATGTCCACCTTCTATTATCCCAAGGGAAATAAGTATCTTGGGTTTGGTTATGATCACGTTTCCGAGGATTACAAGTGTGTTAAGATTTTCTTGCGCGAATTGGATGGTGAAGTAGGCTCTTTCAAGAGTCAAGTTATGATTTATAGCTTGAGAGAGGATTCGTGGAAGCGAGGGGCTCATGATGTTCCATACTACTTTTATGGGCATTTTGGTTATTCTGTTGAGCTCAATGGAATTTTGCATTGGTCTATTGAAGGTAATCATAGAGAGCCCCTCCCCATAGTTACCTTCAATCTTTGTGATGAGACTTTTTGTTCTGTGCCATTGCCTAACTATCATACTGAGATCTATATGCGCGCCCACATAGGAGTGATTGATGTGTGTTTGTGTCTGATTCTCAATTACTATTGTTACTGTGAAGTATGGGTCATGAAAGAGTATGGTGTGGCTTCATCTTGGACTAAGTTGTGTAGGGTTGGGAAACGATATCATTACGAAGATTTGAGGCCTATTTCTTTTTCAGAGAGTAAGAAGGAATTGCTTGTGATATCTACCTTGGTTAATGTTGCTTCTTTGGACTTAGAAACATTGGAGATTACGAATATTCAGCCCCCTGGATTTAATAGATTTTGGAGTGCACATGTATGTTTGGAGAACCTTCTTGTGTTCAGGGATGTTGAAGATGCTCCTACCGGCACAGAGCTACCACGAAGCAGAAGCATCAGAATGCGAAAGTTATTAATGAAGAAAACTGAGAGGTATCACTTATGTTATTGCTTGATCATTTGCATTGTCATATGAACTATATGTTTGTTTGTCCATGGAAATTTTTGCACTTCATTGTTCCTAAAGATAAAAATGGCTTTGAAATAACTATATGGTGATATTATTCTGGTTAATCTTTTTCAAAAAGTGATACTAGCAGTAATCAATACAGTATTTTGATTCGTCATCTATAATTATCCTACCCTGCACATTAGATACTTTACTGTTTCATTTTTAATAACCTGAAATACAAAGCTGAAAAACAACTTTTTGTTTTCTTGAATAACAATTACAGAGTATGAATTTTAGCAATTGTAATCTAACTATCTTCTGTTTCTTATATGCAGGCTTTTAAGAATCCATGCTACTAGGCTACAAGCCAGTCTTGAGCTGCTCCGCTCATCCAATGATGAATCTTGATCGTGGCAGCATTACAACTCCATACAGTGGAATTTGAAAGTATTCTTTCCATGAAGTATCAAAAATTGGCAACATTATCAGTACGACAATTAGAGGTGCATCACTTAAGACTTAACCCTGCTTTGCGTATATGTAGTGCTTAAGCTAGCACTACTTGCTAGGATCTAAGTATCTAAGAATGTAATTGTACTGTAATTGTGTGCCTTGATTTATACCAAGATCCATTGTTGCTGATCCCTCTCTTCCCACTTGATTTTTAGAACCCTGGTGTTGGTTGCTTCATATTTTAATTTTGTCATGCCAAGGCTTTCTGGTTGTCCCTGGTGTCGCGACTAGCAGTCTATTCAGCTTCATTTTTTCCTTGGCATTCGTTTTTCTGAGGTGGATCAACTTAAATTACGCCCTATTCGCTCATTACCTGAGTTATAAATATTTTTACTGATCAAGAATGATTTTTACTGATTTGAATTGAAACTTTCTGATTGAAACTAATTAAATTTGATTGTACTTGGAATTTTGTGAGGATCCTTCAGCGGATTTGCTAGTCAGATTTACAACTTGCTAACAGACTCATATATTAGGGTGCTTTAGGATTCTGTCTTTTAACTTGCTGATTAGGAGATGGTAATTGGCTATTCACTAGGTTTCTAATACTGAATTGTTCTTATTTTCGGATTGATTGGTATACCATTCCTACTCTGTAGTTTGATTGGTATACCGTTTCTACTGTGCCTTCGACGCTTTGGCAGAGGTAATAGAACTCCTAGGAGACTTTGTGAGCAATATGTTTCTTTATCGTTTACTAGTGTTTTTGTCAAGCATGTTTTTCATTTGATTACAATGGATGAAGATGAGTTCTTTTATCTTCTTGTGTTTTTTACAGTTTGAACTTGAAGCGTGTAAAATGTAGAATGTCCAGTTAGATGACTTAGAACTTAGACGGGTGCGAATAAGATTATCCTGTTTTAATTTGAATGCTGTTTGAGCTTTCTTGGTTTTTTCATTAGTATGGTTTTGAAACAAACCCTCTCTCCCTCACTTGCGTTTTCACATTTGATTTTGTATGTCGTGTTTTAGGGCTGAGCAAAACTATCTGAAGATCCGAAAATCCGATAATCCGATCCGCATTAGATCCGAAAATTATGGATACCCGATCCGAGTTTGATTTCGGATATCGGAAATCCAAAATTTAAATTTTGGATTTCGGATATCGGGTATCCGATCCGATATCCGAAATGCTACCCAAAAATCGCTACATCCAGCAAAACCCAAATACCCCCAGAAGGCACAAGCCCAAATACCCCCCAAAGGCCCAAAACAAGAAACCCTAAACTATTCCTTTAACCCACCTCACCGCCCTTTTCTCTCTCCTCTCCTTCTCTGATCTTTCATTCTCCATTTCTCCTCTCCTCTATTCTCGTTCAAGGTTCAAGTGTTCAACAGCCTTCCCCCTCCTCCCGACGGTGGTCAACTCCTACCCCTACTGCGCCGCCCTTTCCCACCAGCAACAACAACCACCTTAACCGCTATGAACGACCCCTTCCAACCACTAAACCAGCAACCGTACTCCTCATTGCGCTCCTAAATCGACGGCGTCTCCTCTCGGATCTCAGTCCCAAATCGACGGTGGCTTCTCCATTTTAATGGTCGTAGCGGCGGCTACCCTCTCCTCCTCACAGCTTCTTCCACTTTTCGCTCCTCTCACGATTTCATTTTTTTGTTCTTTATTTTTGTCTGTTGATTTCAATTAGTGTATTTTAAGTATAAAAATAGGCTGATTATTTTTTCCGTTGTATTGTTTATTTTAATTAGTTGATTCTAAGTTATTTCTCCTCATTTTCTAGTTGTCTTTAGATTTTGAATTTTGTGAGTTCATATTTGATTTTTGTGGTTTAATATTTTGTAATTTGTGGTTAATATTCTTGGAAAAAAAAATGACATAATCAATATTAATAAAAGGATCGGATACTAGATATCCAACGTATCCGATTCGAAAATTTCGGATATCAAAATTTCGGATATCCAGAGCTTTCGGATCGGATATCAAATATCCTGATTTTCGGATACGGATATCCGATCAGAAATCCAATTTCAAATTGGATATCCGATCCGTGCTCACCCCTACGTGTTTTGATGCATTGTGATAGCTAGTAGTCGACTAAATATCCTCCGTATGTTCACTCCTTTCTACTCATATGAGTCTTATCAAATGTTATGTACTCTTGTTAATCCAATTTATATCATTCTCAAACCCCATAAAAATGTTAGAATTGGTTTAATTATCAAGGATAAATTTATAAATTTAAGAAAGAAAAATGGATATTGAAAAAAATAGAGTAGATGTTATATTATGACAATACCTAATTCTATTAGAATTTGGAAGACATTGAAACATATCCTAATACAAACCGACATTCAAACATATCCTAACATAAACCAAATTCTAGATCAAATAGAAAATTTAACTAAATATAGGCATATTAAATATACATTGACCATATTCTAGTAAACCTTATTTCATTGTTCGAAGAAAACTTATTTTTTACACCCAAAACACTATTCCTTGAACTTAACATGTTCACCCACATTCTTGATTTGTTCTCCAATGGTAACAACAACAATGGAGATTCCGATAAGTTTCGAGTTTTTGACGTCGTCTACTACGACGAACACAACCAGCATGCCAGCAATTATAATGACAATGATACATTCATCTCAAGTCTTATGCCTATTGAGATAAAACCTGGTGAGTTTTACACAAAACAGCAGCTGCATGAAGTGCTCCTATCTCTAACGAATTGTGGAATGTTCAAGGATATTGATTTGGAATGTAGAACTAACCTTAATCATACAGTCAAAGTCACTTTCTATTACACTGAGAAAACATGGTCTTCTAAAGATTACTTCAGGTTTCCTTCTACTACCTTATAATTCTTTAACTCTGACATTTCGTTTGCCAACTTTGCCTATATACAACTTTGATTATTAATATTTTAAATTAACTATACGATATAATTTACATAATAATACTAATATGAAAAGGAGTAATTATTGATTTGTTGTTATTGATGAAATATATAGCTCCAGTTCTTATTTAATTTTGTTAGATTATATAAATAATCTAGTGTATATTACTACCTCTAGTCTAAATTACTCGCAACTTTAGAATATTTTATATCTAACAAATAATACCCCAAAATTGCGAGTAATTTGGACCGGAGGTAGTATTAGTGTTTTGGGTGTTTTTGTCCCTCGGGAGAGTTACAACACGAACACTGATCCTGGGTGAGCTGTACCTGCAAAACAAACAGAGACACCAGTTGGGTGGTGCTCCGCCTCCGACGCACAAGTTAGAAACTTCAAGGGAGAAAAAGGTGCGGAAATTTAGATGGGGATCTGCTCGGATTCCAAGCTCAGGATGTCTCTATCAAAGAGTAAAATGTGTAATAAATGGTAAAACATGTCCTCAAAATGAGGGACATCTCCCTATTTATAGGGTCTTTGGGAATTGTGCCCCTAATTAGGTTACTGAACCCTAATCATTGGTGGGCTGCGCCGTTTGGCGGCATTCTCGGGATTTGAGCCTGAAGGCCGCCTTTTCCCTTAATTTCGGGAATGACACGTGTCGAGCAGGGATTGGTCCATTTTAGACCAATCTGGGGCTGACACGTGTCACCTTCTGATTGGGCCACGTGGCAGGGTAAAATTACCCTAAACATTTGTCCCTCACAGATGTGACGTGGCACGCCACGTGGCATCTGTGACACATGTCACGCTCCGGCTGGCGGTAATTTTACCGTTACAGAGTAACCGTTCATCTTCCGGGTAAATTACGGAAATGCCCCCAAATTTACCCTCTATACATAGCCGTTTTACCCTCATAATTTTGTACGTTTACAAAAATTTTCTAGAGAGAAACTTCGAGAGAGCAGAAGATATCCGTTTGAGTCAGGCGCGAGCAAGAAACTTTGTTCTTCCGCAACCCAGCCAGACCCGCCTTCCTTCAGATATCAAATCCAAAGGTACCGTCTCTGTCTCTCTCAGCTCTTTTCTTTTTTTCACCGTTTGTACATATTTCTTGCAATAAATGGATGCATCACCAACACACACGGCACAACCTAGGTTAGAGTCCAGCCGGTCACCAGGGACGGCTGAGTCTAGGACTGGGAGTGCCGGCTCGGGGTGTTGGGTCCACCCTTTGCCATGGATTCCGACCCGTTATGTGTCTGTGCAGGACACCATGGCTCGGACAATGCAGACGACCACTGATCCGAATTATAGAAGCGAAGGCTCAGGCGGCCAAACGCCTGAGGGAGAATCGTCTGGTCAGGGAGACCAGACGGCTCTGGAGAGATCCCCTCCGCGCGCCCCTTCAACCCCTGCTGACTCTTTCTTGGAAGAGTGTGACCAAGGCGGCGACGAGGCCGCCTCTGCCCCCATGGACCAAAGCGAGGGGGAGACGGAGAGCGACATCTCCACCTCTACCTCCGAGAGAAGCGATGACTTGCCCCCTCTTCCGGATAGCGAGGAGGAAGAAAGGAAAAAGTGGAATGAGAAGGACGATCCCTTCAGCATCCACGTCTCCTCCAAGGACCGAATCCAGATGGGGGAGACCTTAGAGAACTTTAAGAAAATGCACCCGCTTGGAGACGGGTATAAGATCCGGGTGCCGCCTGAGCTGGGCATCATCGCTGGGGGGATGATCAAGAGAACGCCAACAGCTATTTTGGTTGTTATGAGGCGGCGTTCAAAGCCGGCCTTCGCTTCCCCCTTCACCAGGCGGTGAAGGCAATTTTTAGGGGCTACGGCCTTGGGATCTGGCAACTTACCCCCAACTCCTGGACCAACATTCTGGGGTATGTTGCCGCCTGCGAGTTCCAAGGGCTTAACCCCGGCTAGGAGGCCTTTGCAAGCATGCACTATCTCAGCAGAAGCCCAGGCGGCTGGAGGGCGTGGTATACTCTTACCACACAGCCGCAATACATGATGACCTTGGACAAGGTCTCCAAGATCGATGGCTGGAAGCACAGGTTCTACCTGATGTCAGCCCCAACCAGACGGGAAAATTATGAATTCCGTCTGTACAATAAGAAGCCCGACTTTTTGGCCAGGAAGTGCGCTCTTCCCCGGATCCCAGAGGAAGACTTTGACAAAATAATCGAGGCAGACTTTTTCGGCCTCACAGATGCAACTGTGTCAACCGGGGAAACAATAAAAGTCCCTAAGAATTGGATTCCCAAGAGCACCTGGTTCAGGGATGAATGTTTCCTAGCCGCCTGCGGGCTAGGGCACATGTTTAATAAACGTATGCGCCTGGGTTCAAACCGTCTGTAGTATTTTTCTATCGGAATTGATTTATGATTCTGATCAATTTCTTTCTTTTTTGCAGAAGAAGCGCTAAACATGTTGCAGTCGGAGAAAACTCCCAAGCGGTCTTCTGCGACCATCCGCAAAGATCTTGCGGAGAAAGCTGCGGCCGAGCTCAGGGCCAAGGTATTGAGCGCCTGACCCTTTCTGAAGTTTATTTTATAAACTGTCTTGCCCGGATACTAACCTTGTGTATTTTCACAGGGGGGAGAAGTTGGGAAATCGTTTGAGAAGAATCTCAAACAGGCTAGAGAGGAGGCCCCAGCCGTTCTGAATAAAATAAAAAAGTCTGCCTCTGCGTCAATTCTTGGCGCCTCAGCCAGGGCTAAGACGATGCGGATAGCGGGGCGACTCGAGAAGGTAGGCGGCAGCGTGTGCCTTGATCTTGTCAACCCCTTATCAGCAGCCGCGGGGTTCACCATGCCTGCAAGCGTTTCCCGCTTGGCCGGCTCTGAAGGTAAGAACCCTTTTGAATCCCCGCTTGAGCTGGGGTGGCCTTTACGGGTGAAATCCCACTCCCAACAGACGTCATCCTCACACGGTCGGCAACAGATAGGTGCTGCCTTAGTTTCGCACTCATCACGTATTGATTGTGGTGCAGATCAATCTCCCCGCTGGCCAGACGTCCAGAAGCACGCCAAGGCCATGCTAGATGCCGTCTGGAAGAGGGATAAGGACAATATCCCTGGGATAGAGACATTCAATCTTGAACGCATTCTATCCCTTCTGGCTGAGGTAAGAAACTTGTCAATTCAATGTTATTTTTTCCAAGTAATTATCCCGCCTGCTTTTGCAGGCCATGCTGCGGGTGGACGGGCTCAAACGTCCTTATTCCCGCAAACGGGAAGAGGTAAAAAGGGCCAAGAAGTCCGCCATAGACGCTGATAATATTGCTTTCCACTCAACTATCGTAAATGAACTTGAAACTAAAGCAATAAGTATGACACAGGCGTCTAAAATCCAGCAGCTGGAGCTAGATCTGAAGGCGGCCGACCAGCGGGCAACAGATGCTGAGACGGCCAAGAAGGGGGCGGAGGAGGCCTAGAAGAAGGCAAACGAGAGCGCCAAGCAAGATGATGAGGCGCTCAAGAAGGCCCAGGCGGACCTTGGCAAACAGAAAACCAAGGTTGAGAGGCTGGAGAAGGATGTTGCTCAAGCTCAGATAAACTTTGCAGCAACCCTGGAGGCGGAGAAAAACCGCCTTGTTGCTGAGAATGATGCTGACAACGACGCCCGTATGAAGATTGCTTGGGCTTCCTTGTACCCAGAAGCTGATTATAGCATCTGGGCAATGGCACACAGCTATGCCGAGTACGTGTACTTGAGAGAGCAAGGTGAGCCAGAGCCTGCCTCCTTTGAAGCCTGGCTCAACAACAGTGAGCCAACCGCGCCTGAGCTTCCTGGTCCCGGCGAAGCGCACCAAATCCCCTCAGATGATGAGGAGAAGGGGGAGAACCAGGAGGCTCCGTCTGCAAGCCAAAAGTGA